CACACAAAGAGACACACACACAGGTGCTCAGCTGTGGCATGTGGCGGCGGTGTGTTGACAGCTGGGTGGTCGCCAGGCAACCAGGTGGGAAACAGATGCTGCAGCTGCGGTCTGGCCTGTTGCCACGGTAACAGCTGGGGCATCGACCCCTGGACGCGCTGAACTCAGAGCTTCATCGGAGCGACCGCAAGACCACGCCAGCGCCGCCAATTAAGAGTGAAGTGTGTATCGATCCGCACCCATGTGTGTGTGTGTGAGAGAGAGTAATTAACAGAGCTCTAGGGGTGTCTGGAAGGAAGTTCTTGGGGTCAAACAGGAAGTGAACAACGTTTGAATGAAGGCAGAGAAGTTCAGTCGCTCTGTGTTTCACGACTGCACTTATCAAATTACACTAATTAGATGATGAAAAATATGTTCTGCTGCCAAGAGAAGTCAGATCTGAGTCGAATCTCATCCCTGCTAAACAAACTTACTTACTACTGTCATTTTGACTTTCTCAACATTTTGAAATCTTGCCAAAATAACATGTTCAATTAATATGGTACTACAGTAATACCATGGTATAATCTGGAGATAATCAAATTTTAATAAAATGAAATAAAATTAACATTAAATGATCTTTAATTAAACAAATTAAATGATTAAGTAATTAATTAATCTATAATTAATGAAGGAATCTTGAGCAATGCTCTTCTTCAAATAATGTGCGAACTGAACGTAAACTAATTTTAATAGACTATAAAATAAAAGCAGAGAAACAACTAAATGATAATGAAATTTATTTCAGCTATTTTCATGATTGATTGGACTATACTGTATCTCAAATTACCATGGTATTACCATCTGATGCCATCACCACAGCACATGTGTGTGTATAAACAGCTCTTCCTTAAGGAACCGATGGAAACAATAGAAATGAATCATGGGAACTTCATGTTCTGGGAAAAGGAGTGTCTGCCAGAGAAAACCACTAGCACATAAAACGCCTTTAAAGTCGTGGCAGAGATCTGATCAAAGGTTTCAGAGGCCAGGACAGCCCGTCTCACACACACACACACACACACACACACACACACTTACTCACTCGCACACTCGCACACTCGCTCACACGCTCACACACTCGCTCACACGCTCACACGCTCACACACACACACACAAGGACAGGGAGGAGCAGCAGTGGCTCATAACATACAGGAAGATGTTAATTCACTTCCACAGGTGTTCAGCACATTTCCTCTTTCAGCATTCCTCAAATCCCTGCGCCGTCTGCTCCACCATCACAAATACACTAAATAATTTACCGCTCAGGAAAATAAAAATTAAAAATTAAATTAAAATTAAA